GACAGGGGTGGTGGCAGAACCTCACATCTGCTATAGTGCACCAGTGACCACTGATGATTGCATGGCTGCAAACTTAGGTACAACATGTAAACTTCAGTTCTCTCAGGTTCTCTGGGTCAGGAATACAGGAGGTGCTGCTGCAGGATCCACCATAGTTTCTCCTGACCACGCTGCAGTCTCAGTGGAAACACTGCTGTGGCAGAATCTGTTCTCAGGCTCTCTCTCTCTTGCTAACAGGAAGTAACTCAGTTAGTATGGAGGTCTGAGGTCACCTCTGTCTGTTAAACTTTTTCTCTGCAAAGAGTCAGTCTCTCCTCAAGGAGAATCCAGAGATAGTCAGAGATTTAGAGAGGAAGACAGAATGAAACAGAGAGGAAGGAAGGAAGAACAGAGGAGGGAGAGAGCAGGAAGTTGGTCACAGTCATTTTATGGGTGAACCTTGATAATCACATCCCATTACATCTGCCATGTTGTGTTATTAAGAACAAGTAAGAAATTGGGGAGAGAGCTCAAGACAGAGCAATTGCCTACCATGCCTGAGGACCTGGGCTCAGTTTCAGCCTGGGTAATACAAACCAGAACAAACCACGCTCAAGGAATGAGCTACTCAGGAGGTGGCCATCAGAAGGTGAGCTGTAATCAGTTGAGCACCCTTGCCATGGGTGTGGTGACTCACACAGGTGTGAAGGTAGGCACAGTGCTGATAGATTTTGAGGGTGCATCTGCATCCATAGTGCTTGCTTAGCCTGTGTGAAGTCCTGACTTGAGGCCACAACACCAATACATAGAAGAAATTGAGATGCTTAGGGAACATAATGATGGCTGATCTAATGAACTTCTGCCCCCTCATGATGCCACCAGGGAAACATGTCCAGGAGGTGAGTGTAATCTCCACCACCATACAGCAGGAACCAGGCCTGTGTGCACTGTGTTCACCTCCCTTCCACCCCTTCATGGAAGTGACCTCTAATTCTGTATACTGTGTACACATGACACCAGCCCACAAGGTTTAAAAGTGTCATCTCTCACCTCTGATGATGTCCCTAGGAAGCAGATGCCATAGTTCCGGGGGACACACTGGAAAGGAACTGAGAGGCATGGTGTCATGTCTAAGTTGACAAGGGAAGTAGGAAGGAGGAGTGGGGTCTAAAACTAGGTATGCTCAGACCGGGGACCTTGGATTCATTGTGGTTTTTCCTTTCCCATGGGAAAGCTTTGCCTCTTGCCAAGGATCCATCACTTGGGTGGAGCTGTTGTCTTCACTCTGAAGGACAGTGGGCAGTATTCCATATGCTTCCATGGTATCCAGAGCAAGAATCTCTGGGTGATGCCAGATGACCTAGTTCCACACAGACATCATGGAGGGAGCTGATGGGTGCCTTAAATCATCAATGTACCAGGCACTGACCATGATGCAATGACCAGAGCAGATGCAAATGCTGGTCTCTTGTGCTTCCATATTATGAAGGCCACACAGTCACCCTGGAGAAGTGACCAGGTACTACCCACCTTACTGTGAGTGTCCCTAATTCATGGCCTCTGTACACATGGACATAAAATAGGGGAGGGGAAGGGAAGACTCATGAAGGCACACAGAATGGAGTGATGCATCCATATATGAACTGAAGTTGGAGGAAAGACAGGCAGAAAGCACTCCCACTATCCACTCACTTTTCAGATAGTTATAGAGCAGCACCCTCTTGAGCCCCCATGATTAAAGTAACACTGCAGACTCCACCCTCTTTCCATAGAGGCAATATGCCACAAGGGTGGTAAAGGGAAATGCATTTCAGGCTTCATGAAGAGTGGAGGACAGGTGGTCACAGCACTCTCCAGGGAACTCTGTCAGCAAGTGAGGGCTGATTTTGGTTAGTGCACAGGATACACTGGGAGGGCAGTTTGGGAGGGAGGCCAGACCTGCAGTGCTGCTTACAACTGTCCTCCTCAGGATCAGAGTTTCCCTTCTTGGCTCCTGGCAGATGCTGCTGAGGAAGGTGGGACAACCAGCCCAACCAAATATGATTGAGTTGGGCCAAGCCTAGCTCACTGAAAATGAGAACTACAGTGAGAAGGAATTGGCCTGGGTCTGTTGGTTTCTGAGGAGAACATGGGACACTTTAGAGGGAAAAAGACTGTCAGGGGCCTCCTGCAACACAGAGTCATGCAGAAGTGAGTGGAGTGAGGCAAAATAGGAAGGTTTCCTTGGGTGCATTAGTGCACAGAGCTGTCCCTCACCGGCCCTGGGAGGCTATGGGGCTTGCAAGGAGCAAGGACAGTTGGGGATTTTTCTAAGGCAGGTCTGGTACCAGACTGAGTTCAAGGTCTCCTTATAGATCTTGTGCCAGCCTCACCTCCAATGACCTCACCAGCTCTGGGATCAACCTGAAAATCAAGGTCAGATACCCGGTCTGGTGGAATTCCAAGGCGGGTCTGTCACTGGCTCCACGGCAGGTGTCCTCAGCTCCACTTAGGGCTCAAGTCTTGCAAAGTACCAGCCCTTCATTTCACCTTCACTTTGCCTCTTCTATTTCTCTCAGTTTTCATTTCTACTCTTAAATCTATAGTTCTCTGAAACATTAAATTCTAAGATTATTTAATTTTAAGTTAAGATTTCATTAGATTCCACATGTTCAGTTGAGTCACAAGTAAGCACATTGTCAACTGGCACAATCTATATCTGTACATCTGTCTAGTTCCAGCTTTCTGCTCAGTATTGGTCCCATCCATACCCCTGGTCTCTCCTGCTAGCCCCCACCCACCGCTGACCTTTCTCTCACTGTGATTTACTAACCTAGGTTTTTCATATCAGTGCATCAGATTCTGTTTGGCCAAACATTCCTGGAGGAGACTGGATGCTATTACTGTTTGACAGTAACATCCTCAAGTTCAGTTTCTGCTTTGCTTCACTCATTCTACTAAGCTGCAGAATGGACTCTGAGTGTTCAAACACATAGGGTGTGAACTGCAGCAGAAATCTGCAAAAACTTCAGTTAACTGGGTTGTGAAAATACAAGGAAAGTTTTATGGCAAAACACACCTCTTAATAAGTATTTGAAGCACCAAAGAAACCAAGAAGAAGACAAAGATGAAGAGGAAGAGGAAGAAGAAGAAGAAGAAGAAGAAGAAGAAGAAGAAGAAGAAGAAGAAGAAGAAGAAGAAGAAGAAGAAGAAATACAAGGAGGAGGTGGAGTAGGAGGAGGAGGAAAAGAAAGAAAAACAAAAAGTAATGCCAATGTGTGGGGTTTTGTCTCCAATGCCTCAGCCTCATTTAGAAAGGAAAGGATCACAATTTGCAGAATGGAAGGGTCACTGTAGAAAATGGACTTTTCCCCAAGGCACTGATGGTGTGTCTGGCCCACTATGAATGTCTAATCCATAGCAGAGCTTGGAGCCTGGTGGAGGCTGAGGCCAGGACCCAGGAGTTGAGGCCCCTGGGGCTGAGGTGGCAGAGTATTTGGTGCACCCTCATGGCTCTGCCTTATTGGCCCTGCAGGGCTGCAGCATGGATGCAGTGGTGAAAGTGTGTATAATTCAGGAGGTGCTGGGCTCCTCTGCATGCTGCACACTCCCTTCTTGACCTGAGAACAGGAAGATTCAAGTCCTCCCTGCTGGAAAAAGAGACTCTGAAGAAGATTCTGGGTGTCCTCTACCAGACACAGATGAGCACAGTGACTTCTCAGGTAGGGAGGGCAGGACACACACCACAGCGGGATTTGCATGGCTTCATGTGTTGGGGATTTAAAAGTTAGTCATGAATGATGTGTTGCCTTTCTGAATAAAAAGACTCCTTATTTTATATATCTATAAAGTGATGCTTCAATGTTCTTCTATATGCTTATCCTATATTACACATAAAAAATATTAAGTCATCCAAATCCACTCACCTATTCAAGAAAATACCAACTATTTATTCTTAAGTGAATTGAACAGAAGAGAAGTAATATTGAGTGGAGCACTATAAATAATGCAATGGAAAATAAAATGGAACAACCATAAAGGCATCCCTCCCAGGACGAGAAGTCTGCTATTGACCAGCTCCTCTCCCCTATCCTCACCTGCTGTGCAGGCCTGTGTCTCTTCACTACTGGGTGGAGAGCCAGGACACAAGCTCTCTTCAATCTCAGGAAAGATCAGGGACATGGCCTAGGACATGGCCTTCTTTCAGCATTTTCAGTGGCTGTAATTTATATTTAATTCAGCAGATGTGCTGTGGAACATTCATGGTTTCTAACAGTCCACATCTTAACTGATTAAGAAGAGAATACGGTGTCTGTCAATCTCATTTTTATAATGACTCTTAGAAGTGGAATTTCCAGGTTAAATGTATATAAGATTAATTTGAGGGTCTCAGATTTTTCACCTGAAACCTCAGCATAGAGTTAGAGCCTGGTAGAGGAAGACTGAGTCTGCTCAGATCTATGTGGAGATCTAAAGTCAGAGAGATGGTCCAGGCAGAGGTGTAGGACACCATGGCTAAAAAAGGCCTGGTTCAGTCCTCCTCATCCATCAGTAAGTTGTCAGGAAAGCATCACACACTGTATGCTGCACAGGATAGAGCTGGAATGGTTCCAGAGCTCCTCCCTACATGCCTGAGGTCCCCTCTCTCACTCAGGGGAGCTCTGTATGAGGTCAGTCTGTTACAGAGCCCAACTTGACTGAACGATTTCCACCCAGGTGCAGATCTGAACTGCCACATGTGGACTCACCGTAGTTATGGAGCAGGACAAGTGTTTACAGGGAGCAGGTCAGGAGATCGGTACACTGCAGGCAGGTCAGGGTATGAAGCTTTAAATTAGAGACCAGGCCCTCACCAGGCCCAGTTTCCTCCAGCAGTAACCACACCATTCAAGAATGTGCATTAAATCTGAGTAACTGAAAGGAGTTACTCACAAAATTATATATTATAGAGATAGTTTGAAGATACAAAATAAATTGTAGCATCCATAAGTAAAATGAGATGTGACCCTTAATGGATATGTGATGTCCCCAAACCACATGCATCAGAAGGAAATAGCCTGATGAACAGAGCGATAAGGAGCACAGGCAATGGGTAAAAATCACAGCTTCTTACTAACAACAACAAAGCTGGGATACAAAAAGTGCACTGGTGAATTTTATCCAGTATATAATAAAGAATATATACTGATTGTTTTTCAATTCTTTGATCAAGTTGAAGGAAAACCCACCACCAACTTCTTTTAAGTGACAAAGTTAAAGTTATCCTGAGAATGAAGCCAGACAATAATGTCTTAAAAATAATATAAATGAAAACACTCTGTTGGCTAATATTCCTACCAAACATAAACAACAGTGTTCAGCTAAATGTTTACAACGTTAACTCACCAGCATATTCAAAGTTGACCAACGTGATCAACACTGGGCTCAATCTCAGTGGTGCAAGAATGGTCCCTCTCTAACAAACTATATGTTTCCACTGGTTTTAACATGTTGTATCTTACTATATGTTACTATATGTGATAGTATAAAGAAAAATTTTTATAGGCAAGGAGATAATATAGAAACCATTGTTCGTTTTCTGTTAACTGGTTCTAAATACCGTGCAATTCTTTCATTCTGTTAAATGGCTTTACACTGTCTTGATATGCTTGATGCTATCATATATGAAGTTATACTTAAATAATTCAAGGAATGACGCACTATGGTGACTACTATTATGTTAGATTATCTGGGAGTGAAACACAATTATACTTAAATTGTTCCATTCTGACCAGTGTTGTTCTATTACAACATCCTCTTTTATCTCAATCTCCACCCTTTTTTTAAATTAAACTTTTTAATTTTTTTCAATTAAGGGAAAACTAAATTTAAAAATAGCGGGATATATTATAGTAACTATTTGTTTTCCTATTAACCTGATTTGACCCCAGTATTGCTCTCCACATCTTGTTGTGTTTGATTTTACTATATTGTATTTTGTTTGATAGTATCAAGTTTGAGGGTATAGACAACCACTTTGAAGACAATAAGATTTATTATGATGCCCATTATAGTTTGACTATTATCTTCTTTTGAAGTCTTGCCAGGTTTCCAGTGTAGGTTTTATTGGTCTTGTTCTGTACTGTTTTGATCAATTCTATTACACCTGATGATATAGTAACTCTTTTTAAAAATAGCAAGAGGCACAATGGTAACCATTTTTGATCATCTGATATTCTATTTTTGCATCATGTATTATGCTCATCCTTCTGTTCTAACTGTCTCTGTTTTATTTAGTCACGTTAGGATGTATTCTCTTCAAAAAATGTAATAAGAACTGTGGGAGTAAAAAAACTCAAAACGTGTAACTGTTATTGTAAAAAGGAGAGGAAAGGAAGGTGGTCTAAGGGATATAACTGGATGCTTGAGTGTGTAGGATGGAAAATCATATTACTGAGCTTTTGTTGGATCACTGAACAGAACGTTCTGCAATCTCACTGTATGAATGTCCACTTTATATGCCTGAATTTTATAATTTGGACAACTGTTTCTAAGATGACTGAAAGGGTTTTGGCCCAGATAGGACACTGTAGCCAGGAAAGCCACAACCGGAAGCAGGAAGCCCCATCTCCCCTTCCTCTAGGAAGTTACCTGTGACGCCATCTTCCTGCCCCTGGAAATTTACATATGGCGCCAAACCTAGGACCAATGGGCTACCTGTGTATCCCTAATGCCCGCCTTAGTTTCCACCCCAAACCGAGCCTATTTACAGGCCCCCACGTCACGTTTGCGCCTGAGAGATCACTGGACGCCAGCAGTGGGGGTGCTGGGCATCTCTCTCTGTGTTCTCAGAATAAAGGCCACTTTTTATTTTATATTTCTCATCTTTTGTTAATATTTTCATCTTTTGGAAATAACCCTAGCAATGACAATATGTAACCTATTAACTAGTGATTTCTTTCTGTATTTTTTCTTGAAATTCTGTATTACTTGTACCCTTTTATTGCTTTGTTTTTTATTTCCTTTCTTCTCTTTAATTAAAAAAATAATCAAACCTGGAATGGATATCTTTTATTTATTTATTTTTTTGGCTCTGGAGATCAAAATCATGGCCTCACACTTGCCAGGCAGGTGCCTTAAGCCACTGAGCTAAATCCCCAGCCCACCAATGGATATCTTTTACACATTGTCATCTTCAGAGTAGTTGCCTGTGCTCTTGAACTTGATATCAGCAAGCATACCAAATGTGAATAAAATCAGTCAAGGCCAAATAACATTGAAACAATCCAGCTTCAAAGATCAGTCATAGAAGACAATGTAAGTAATATAGGGATTCAGTTTTAGTTAATAGGAAATTAAGGATAATTACCATGGTATAACCTGATATTTTTGGGTTATCTCTCTGTGCCCTCAAATCTAATATGAGTAGATAGACCAGAACAAAATACAACCAAACTATACAGAGCAACAAGACTACTGTAGCTTTTAAATCCTGATACACTTTTAACTATGTCCTCTGCCTTCTTTTTTTAGGCAATTCCTCACCTTTCTCCTTCTCAGGATACTATTATTCACTGTTCAGAGTGATATTAGTCTAGTCTCTTATGTTCCATTTCAGGATACATAAAGATAAAGACAGCTACTACAAAGACCATGAGACACATTATGGTAGTCATTATCAACTTCCCCAAAATCAGTCTTGAAGATCAAAAAACCTTGCATCATCCTGTAATTATTTGATTAGTTCTATAATATTCAGTATATATTCAATGTGTGTGAGGATGGGAACAACTATTTGGAAAAAAACTAGAGACAATAATAAGATAGACAGTGAACATTTCCAGTGGACTTGCTTTGAAATCTGTGTTTCCTTAACTTGTTTCCTTATGAACAGTTTTGCTCTGTTTTTGCTATGTTTAATTTTACCCTCTTTAAGAAAAAAAAGTGTGTAGGACAGATTGGCATATTAATAACTTTTTGGTGGATCATTGAGGTAAACCGTGACAGTGTCATTATTTGAATATCACTTTGTATGCTTTAAATTTGTAACTTGAACAACTACTTCTAAGATGACAATATAATACTAATCAACTAGTGATTTCTTATTGTTTATTTTTCTGAAATTCTGTATTATTTCTACAGTTTTTTCTCTTTAAATAAACAACATTACAATTCAGAAAATACAAAATTTAAGTTTTAAAGACAAAATATTAAGTATGGAGGCACTTGTCCATACTTGAAAGTGAAAAGCCCATTTCAGTTTAGCATGTTTAATTACAAGATGCCATGTTGAAGCACAAAAACATCTAGATTAATAAATTTAGAGAGGTACAAGTGATTAACTGAAAACCATACAACATGTGCACCTAAGGAGAGCCGCACCACAGAATTGTCATTTCTGGAATATTTGTGAAGAAATATTGACATCTAACTTCTGTATCGATTATTTCTTCAGGTCTCCTTGGGATTTTTAAAGTAAACTTAGATCTAAACTGTCTGAACAGTGATTCTTTTTCTATGTATTTAACAAGAAACATGCATTGCTATATTTCTCACATTGTTAATCCACATATCATCTCTGCCTAGTGAGCTCTTTCAGATATGTAACAATGATCAAGTATGCGGAGAGTATTCCCATAACACATAGGATTTATCTCTTGTGTGAGTTTTTTTTTTCATGTATTTCACTTACAATCTGGCTGCTGAAAATGTTTCCACTTGCTTAGATAGCCAGTGGTTCTTCCCAGTGTGAATTCTTTCATGTGTTATGCAATGACTATATGCAGTAAAAGCTTTGCCACATTGTTATATACATAGGCTTTCTCAACAGTGTGAAGTCATAGATTTATTTTACAAAATCCATGTGTGGTGAAAGCTTTCCCACATTCTTCACATACACACAGGGTTTCTCAACCATGTAAATTTTATAATGTATTGGACAATGAGCATTTCTGCTGAAACCTTTCCCACATTCCTTACATATGTAAGTTTTCTGCCCAGTGTGAAGATTTTCATGCATTATGCAATATGTACATGTGCTAAAACCATTCTCATGATGCCTATATACACTGGTTTTATATTGAATGTGAACTTTCATGTTTCTTACAATCTCCCTGTGTTTTAAAAGCTTTCCCACATTGCTTACACACATATGGTTTCTCTCCAGTGTGAATTCTTTCATGAAACTTACAATTTGTATGTGTGTTAAAAGCTTTCCCACATTGCTTACATACATAGGGTTTCTCTCCAGTGTGAATTCTTTCATGTTTCTTACAGGATCCCCTTGTGTTAAAAGCTTTCCCACATTGCTTACATACATATGGTTTCTCTTCAGTGTGAATTATTTCATGAACCTTACAATTTACACGTGTGTTAAAAGCTTTCCCACATTGCTTACATACATATGGTTTCTCTCCAGTGTGAATTCTTTCATGTTCCTTACAACGTCCAGGTCTGGTAAAAGCTTTCCCACATTGCTTACATACATACGGTTTCTCTCCAGTGTGAATTCTTTCATGAACCTTACAATTTGTACGTGTGTTAAAAGCTTTCCCACATTGCTTACATACATAGGGTTTCTCTCCAGTGTGAATTCTTTCATGTTTCTTACAGTATCCCCTTGTGTTAAAAGCTTTCCCACATTGCTTACATACATATGGTTTCTCTTCAGTGTGAATTATTTCATGAACATTACAATTTACACGTGTGTTAAAAGCTTTCCCACATTGCTTACATACATATGGTTTCTCTCCAGTGTGAATTCTTTCATGTTCCTTACAATGTCCAGGTCTGGTAAAAGCTTTCCCACATTGCTTACATACATACGGTTTCTCTCCAGTGTGAATTCTTTCATGATTCTTACAATCTCCCTGTGTTTTAAAAGCTTTCCCACATTGCTTACACCTATATGGTTTCTCTCCAGTGTGAATTCTTTCATGAACCTTACAATTTGTACGTGTGTTAAAAGCTTTCCCACATTGCTTACATACATAGGATTTCGCTCCAGTGTGAATTTTTTCATGTTTCTTACAGTATCGCCTTGTGTTAAAAGCTTTCCCGCATTGCTTACATACATATGGTTTCTCTTCAGTGTGAATTCTTTCATGAACATTACAATTTACACGTGTGTTAAAAGCTTTCCCACATTGCTTACATACATATGGTTTCTCTCCAGTGTGAATTCTTTCATGTCCCTTACAACGTCCAGGTCTGGTAAAAGCTTTCCCACATTGCTTACATACATACGGTTTCTCTCCAGTGTGAATAATTTCATGATTCTTACAATCTCCCTGTGTTTTAAAAGCTTTCCCACATTGCTTACATACATAGGGTTTCTCTCCAGTGTGAATTCTTTCATGAACCTTACAATTTGTACGTGTGTTAAAAGCTTTCCCACATTGTTTACATACATATGTTTTATCTCCACTGTGAATTCTTTCATGTTGTTTAAAACATTCATGTCTGGTAAAAGCTTCCCCACATTGATTACATACATAGGGTTTCTCTCTAGTGTGAATTCTTTCATGTTGCTTACAATGTTTTGATTTGGTGAATCCTTTTACACATTGCTGACACATATATGGTTTCTCTCCAGTGTGAATTCTTTCATGTTCCTTACAATTTCCAGGTTGCATGAAACCTTTTCCACATTGCTTACACACATAGGATTTCTCTCCAGTGTGAATTCTTACATGAACCTTACAATATGCACGTGTTTTAAAAACTTTCCCACATTGTTTGCATACATAGGGTTTCCCTCGACTGCAATATTTTTCATGGATCTGAACATCGTGGTGTGTTTCTGTTTCTTTCACATTCACATTACCTTCTGCAGTACAAAGGAATACTTCTTTATACTGCTTCCAAGTATGTTCATAAGATTTCCCTAGCTTGTCATTTCTGGAAAGAAAAAATCACATATAGGATTTATAACCATATTACTAAGCTTTTCTTGGAGAGTTGAACAAAACTGTTTGCAGTCTCACTATTTGAATCCCCACTTCATATGTTTCACTTTTGTATTTCATAACTATTTCTATGATCAGCATTTGTAATCATCATCTTGCAATTTCTTACTGTTTTTTCACTTTGAAAGCAGTATTATTTATACTTATTTTATCTTATTTAATCTTTACTTATATTAAATTTAAAAAAAGAAAAATTGACAGTGAAATTGGTCTCCATTGAATAAGTGCATTAATATCAAGTTCTGTTTTTAATGCCTGCTAAGAAATTCTGAACATGAAGCAACAGAAAGGCCTTATAAGATATGTTGAAAACAACCATTCCCAAAAGACTGGTACACATTTGGAAATCTTAAAAGTTGGTACTTTGAAATGCATAATCTTTAGCTTCACTTTGGGCATGGGTACATATGTGTATCACATGCAAATAATTCTCATATGTTTCCCCATCACAATCTTCCTTCTGTCCTTAACCTGTAGTTCCCTTTTCCATACGGTCAGTCTTACTTTTCTCTAACAACTCTGTTTCATTTCTTTCCACATTTTGTATTTTGGTTTCTCATCTAAAAGAAAGCCAGTGACCTTTTAGTTTTTATAGCTGAGCTATTTCACTCAATTGATGGGTGAAAGACCCATCTAATTCTTATAGCAAATGAAATTATATTATTTATTTTTTGACATTATATAACACATTTTTTCCATTCTGGGCTGGGAATGAACAACAGGTATTAGCATAAATCTATATCTTTTTAAAAATCTATTTTAAGAGATTTTCATAGATCATTAAGCTGTGAAGTATGAATTTGAAATTGCCATTCTGCAAAATCTGATTCCTAGTGTGCTGAGTATACAAGAATGCACAATCACAGAGAGTCTATTAACATTTTCCTTCTCCACAAATCCAGTGAAAATATATAAGCTTCAAGGCCTTATCTGTTATAACTTGATCTGCTTTGTATATGAGTAAGCATGTATCAGTATTTTATGCAGATTTTGAGATTTTAAAAATATCCAGGACAAGTATGAGGGGATCGATTTCTAGAGACAACTGCATACTGATATTCAAAATGAGTGCACTAACATTCCACCAGCCTACTAAGAATATTAGTCAGAATCACCGATTGTCTAGAGCATCGCTTGGAAACATGAGCACTCAGTTTTATTTCAAATTCTATTGCAATCTTAGCAATTGTTAGATAATGAAAGTGTTGTATTCACATGTATATATGGGTAGAAAAGCTGAAGGCAGAATGTCATAACTCAAAGTGTATGCCTTTTGTAATCATCTATATGCAATGTCATACATTTTCATTATTTAATTCCCTCATATATACACTAGCTTATACATCTTTGGAGAATATTACTGACATTAAATTGAATGGTGCCTCATTTCTTTGGTGGTCATTTTTCTGCTGACTCACTAATTACTCAGGAACATTTCTCTCCTTGTGAGTGTGAATTACCTTAAGTATCTCCAGTAAACTTTGCATTCTTTTTCAGCTTCCTGGATATCCCCAAGTCCTCCTGAATTGTAGACATAGAAATACCAGGACTCAGTTGAGTAATGCATACAAATTAAGAGATTTTGTTTAGATTTATGATATAATGTGTCCAGGTCTGAGCTATTTTTAAAAATATTTTCATATTCTTTTTAACGAAACAGCACTAATGAGCAACAAACAATATTCTGACAGCGTGAGTGCCAAAAACATTTCTTCCTTACCTATTGCAGCCATGTTTCTAAAGGTTTCGACCATCACATCTCTGTAGAGGTTCTTTTGGGATGGACTCAGCAAACTCCACTCCTCACTGCTGAAGTTCACAACCACATCCTCAAAGGTCACCACCTCCTAAAGGATCATACATATATTTCTCAAAGGAAGGTTGAGACCCCAGGTTTGGGATATCTTAAATTCTTTCCTACAAATCTGAATCAAAAGCAAAGTGCGGTGGTGCATATCTATAATCCCAGCACTCAAAAGGGGAGAAAGGAAGGCATCAGTGAGGTCAGGGCAATTCTAGGCTCAATACGGTGTTCAAATCCAGCTGATATACATACAGAAAGCTTGTCTCAATAAAACAAAACTAAACTCAACAAATAAAGCCAAACAAAACAGCTGGATGAAGACTGATTTGTTCAAATTTAAATCCATGTCTTCGTCATTAATTTTGTGTCTATACACATTTTTGAAGACAGCAAATTTGATGCTAGATTGCAACTCACTGCTAATATAACAGCCAAATTGGAGCACTGATTCTTGTGCTGAGTCATGGCAAGATTCCCTGTGCACTTTCTCTAACGCAGAGCTCACAGTGAGAAGCCTGCAGGACCAGCAACCACAAAGCACAGAGGCAGATAAATGTCTCATCAATTGCCTGGGAAGCCAAGCAAGCACCTCCCCTCCCCAGTCAGCAGTGGCAATCTGGAAAACTGCAGCCCTTCCAGGGGGATAACCAGCAGCAGCTCCTAAGGTCTGTTCTATGTGGGAACTTAGGGCTCTGTGAAACCAAACAACCAGCCTGTCTCCCTACTAAGCAATAGTGAAACTACTGATGCACCACCTGGAATCAAACATCCCACTTCCCTACCCCTCTTCTCCTGTCACCCCACATTAGCAAATGGGAACCAGAAATCTGAGCATCTGCTGGGAATTAGACCATAGCAAATAAGGGGGCTTCATTCTACTATCTCTTTGAAGGAAAATGTTTTTATTATTGTTTCACTCCATTCTGATTAATGGTACTGCTCAATTGAATATTCTGTTTTCATAAGTTCTATAATGTTCTGTATTTCATCTCATTTTGATATATGTGATTAAAGAACAACTATGACAAAGATAACAAAATATACTGTGATTACTATTACTGTTATCCCAGTAACCTGTTGTGAAGTTGTGTACCAATTTCACTGTGTGATCTTAGTTGGCCTTATGCTGCCTGTTTTTGTTCTATTTTACCAATTTCAAAATTAAATAAAAAATCTCAGCAATCACTTTGATAGACTACAGATGATGTCTGTTCGAATCTCATTTAGACCATGAATACTTTGTTCTTAATATACTTAAGCAGCATTTTGAAACATGAATTTGGTTTCATAGAACAAAACATAAATAACATCAAATATGGTATATAAATAATAACTCAAGTGTTAGTGGAAAACAGCTGTATTTTAAAATTATGTATATAAAATGAAACCAGGCCCAAGCTATAAATTATACCTCACTGTCACCAAGTGATCACTTTCAATTCAAATATAAGAAACAAATCTTGGGAGGCTGGTGAAGGATTTCTTCCTTGAATTTGGGGCTAGCCTAAGTTACAGAGCTGTCTAAAATAGACAAACCCTGATTGAGACACCGAACAGATAAAGTGAAACTTAAAAAGAGACTGCATAAGACACCTTTGGTTTGTTTTTAAAAAAATTATAGCCATACAATACTGAAAAATTCCAACAATATTCAACACTTTCCCAGAAACAATGTGGATATCGTCCATACAACACAGAAAACATTTTCATAGTTGTGTATTTAGCTCAGTGGCATGAACACCTGCCTGGAAAGCATAGGTCATGCGTTTGATCCTTGGTACAAAAAAATTGAAAATTTCAGCTTCATGACACTGGGGTATAATTAGAGATAATCAAATTAGATCTCAAGTATGGAACACAAAAATTATGGGTTGACAGGGATGTGGAATACTGATTGTTTGTTGCCAGAGCTGGTGTTGATCACCTCAATGAAGCAATCAGAACCCAACTTTACTTCATACTTACTCTAAAAACTACCTGACTTTCAGTGAAGATGCTCTCTGTTGTATGTTCTGCTATTTGCTGCCTGCATCCTGTCAGTCACTTCCACATCATTTCCACACTCCTCTGATCCATCCTAAGCAGAAAACCCTTCATGCCTAACTATCGATATCACTGCTAAATTTCTATTTAGGGCGTCTCATTTACACCACTTAGATAACTCCATTGTAGAGAATTTTCATATTTAAACTGTCTATTAACAACCAAGCTACTGAATCAGCTCTTAGTTCAGAGGTGACACCGCTATTCCTTTCCATTTGGAAGGATATCACATGTATATGTCCATGCAAATGCGTAAATTTTGGCATTTTTCAATGAGAATTTAACAGGTAGCCCTTTCTGGAATTTGTCCTTCACAAATTTTTACCCTGTCCTTGATAACATTTTCATCTTTGCTTCATTTTTCTCAGACTTCAAAACTCTATGGCTGTTCTCACAAACCTAGTGTGTGAGCAGGCGTGCCACCTAAATAATTAAGTATGATCAGAAATTATTTTGCACTGATCTGTATAATACACAGGAGTTCACCAGTTGTTTGGGAAGCCTTTCTCTGCTGAGGCACAGTACT